TATCAGTTTCCTCCTCACTTGGGGGATCCATTAATAATACTAACTTCATGGCATTTTGTGAGGATTAAATGATATAACATATGCAAAGTGCTTAGGATATGTGCTTGACATATAGCAAAGAGGGCCAGTGATTGTTGGCTAAACTTTATTGTCCTCACTGATATTCTGGGTTTGTTATACTTTTACTTATGGGTATTCTAGTCCTCATTGGTTTTAATAAATTTTGATATTACCAGAAACTCTTGATTTAGGAGGGAAGGAGAAATTTCCTAAGCATAAGAGGAAAAAGAAATCATACACTAAAATGCATGATATATTTATTTTTGTGTGCCACCTTCAACTTGCTGGTTTGCACACATGTGACAGATAATCTATAGGCTTCCCCTAGAGAAACATGACTTGGTATTTGATATTTTAAAAACTGACAATAAACATTAAATCTCTTGATGCTACAGAACACAGAGCAAAAACTTATTCCCACCTTTCATCTGGGGGCTGAGAAAGACATAGTGTGGGCATTGCTCCCAACTGGATAGAAAAAAAAAAAAAAAGGCTCAGTTTGTGTTAATTAAAGCTATAGGTTTGGGGGTAAATACCAAGTTTAATCCCAGCTTCCTTCTCGCGTCACATCTCACAGCCAGTCTGGGCATCTGATTCTGTGCACTTGGCTTTGGCGTATGGTGTTTCAAGGGCCTCTGGAGCTTTTCAAAACATGGCTGTGTTTAATCTAATCATCTATGGGAACACAGTCACAGGCAGATCAGCACAACCAGAGAACACTCTCCAACCACAGCAAAACAGGCAGCCTTGCTGTTGTGTCTCAACCACTTCCTAAGTCTCAGCTGAATATTTGGTCTTGACTTTTTAAGTTGCCTAACTTTAGCTTAGAAAACATATTGGAGTCTTTCATAGTACAGCGATTCACTTAGCACGTTTCATAATTAACTACTGTAAAGCAAAACGTGGGCATGTTTGCAAACTATGGATTTCATTAGCCTACATAGAATCTGATTGTTCTCCCTAGCAATATTAGAAGCTGGCCCAACATCAGTAAAATTATTATTTTGAAGAACCATGTGTGCAGCAGGTGAAATCTTTATTATTACCAGTCAATAATAAAAGTTTGACAAGTTAAAAATATAAACTCAAAATATAAACTTACAGTAACTCAAAAACTTTCTTAAACACATTCCTACCTCCGCTCAAGGCACATGGATGGGGATTGTGTTTGTGATAGTTTGAAGTACCTTCCTGAAATGTCCTAACAATTTAATCAATGTTTATATGTACATAACACAGCAAGAAGGAGGGCAATTTTTGACTGCCGATGCAGATATTAATCAACATGTATCTTCCAGAAGCCTGCAATAGCATCACTTGACTATGTACCTCCAAAATCTAGCTCTTTTTCAAAAGAGTTAGAAAGAAAACAGAAGTTTCCCAATATCATGAGGAATATGAAACGAGCAACCTTTCTGAATTCTTCACTTATTACCTATGTCATTTGGACTCTAAGTAATCTGACACCATGCATAGAAATGGTGCAAGATAAGAACTTCAGCTTTTTTTTCTACTTATCTTAAATGTTAATTCCCAATGTGGAAAATTTTTAGGTGGAAGGGGTAGAAGCAAAAAAGGAAATTTTGATTGTTTGTGTACAAAATGTACATGACTTTGTATTTTAAACCACTATGCATAGAAAGAGAAAATAGTTGGGCACCCCCATGAGAACTTGTAAATAAAAGTGTTATTCTTATATTACTTTATATCCTTTTACTACTTATAGAAGAAATAAAGTAGAAAAATTGTGGAAGCAGTCTGGGAATCTTCTCCCAGCTTATGTTTTAAGCTTGGTAACACATTTACACTGTTTGTTTGCATTAAGCAAAATTGCATATTTTGGCATGAGGTTCAAGAAAATTCAAAACACTCTAGAAAAGTGAGGCTTTAAGACTTCATTTTTATCACCATACTTAGCCTGTATACATAAGTTCCAAATCTGGCAAGTTGAAAATGTTTAATAAAAGGGGAGGGGAAAGATTGTATGAATAGCGTAGAATTAGAATGGAGTGCATGGTTAGCTCAAGCTGATAGCTTCATGCAACTATGCAAAAATAAAGCATTGGAAATGGACCAGCAAGCTGCATCACACTGCCTGTGGAGGCAAGACTCTGTAATAATACACAGATGATTAGGAAATCTCTTGTCAGGCTATCTTTTCTAAATATTTAAGGCTCATATTTTATAACACATGTTCATAATATTTAGGCAAAAACAAAATTAAAGAATAATAAAGCAATGAAAAAACAAAGTGAATGAAAGCCAGATTCTCTTATGAAAGGGGAATTAATCCATAGTCCTCCTATGTCCAGACCTTAAATACCTCAGAGTAGTCCCAATGCAATGCAAAAAGGGAGTTATGTATGCAGTGTTTGATTGGAGAATAAATTATAGGGAATTCCAAAGAAATAAACAGAAATGATCCAACCAAGAAATTAAAGTGGATAAGTACCGAAGATTTAGGTTTGATGTTACATATAGAAGCCCACATTTCTCCCATACTACTTCCTTGTATAATTAATTATGTCCAATATTCTTCTACTATTAAGTTCTTATTGTGTATACATGTGTGCATATATTTTTAATATAACTTTTGTTCTTATCAGCATCTGGCTTCCTGCCTCTCAGACTGCTGCATTAGCCCATGTAACCCAAGACCCTTAGTTCAGGAATTCAGGAGGGCTGAGAAAGGTGACACTGCAGGGCTCTTCATTCTAGCCTAGTTGGTTTGAGCGTCAAAGTAGCCCTCGAGAAGTTGCATTTATTGCCACAGTGTTTGTCTTACAGGGAAACCTCCCAGAAGCTATCAATGTGTAAAAACAGATCGCTACAGGAAACCGGGAGAGAAGGAAGAAATGGTCCTTCCTTCAAAGAACGTGTAATGTCATTTTTTGATGGTCATGATTTAGAAGCTTATAATTCTGTGGATGGATGATGCCAAAATTCAACTCTGTGTCTTATTCCCCATGCTTTCTCCACCCAGCTTAAGATAAACCAGCCTCTGCCTTCCCAGGGATTTAGAACCTTTCTAGTGGGACTTCTTTCACTGTGAATAACAGTGATTAATTACTGGCTTAATTTTTAAATCTCCTCTGTTTAATTACACTCCTCTGGGAATATCTGGAATAATTCCCCTTAATTTCTGCTGCAGATCGGAATGTTGCCTTGTTTCTTTTCCTGGCTTACTCGTGCACATAGATATGTAATAAGTATTGATTAAGGTTCTACATTAGGCTGTGTTTTTATCAGTTAGTTTAATAGGCATGAGTGAGAGACAAAGCCATAATCCCTACCCCAGAGCACCAAATATGTGTTTTAAAAATACTTCCAGGCTGACCAGCTCTTCTAGGCAGCATAAGAAAGAGCCATTCCCTCTTTCTAATATACCTTATAGGAAAGAAACAGAGACTCAAAGTGTCTAAATTACTTGTCTGAGATAAAACAGAGAATCCAGAGACTGAGCTGGAATTCTGGTTCAGATCTTTGGCTCCTAAAGCTAAAGATGCTCAATTAATAAAGTGTTGAATTAAAAATATTATCAGTAATGCTGTTGGATGGTTATTTACATTATGGTTTTATGTTTGTGTGTTTTTTTATTTTTTTATTTTTTTTGCTTAGGTGGTAAGAAGAGTGTCGATTAAGAATATTAATATCATGATTAATACTTAAGAATTGAAATTTAACTACAAAATTCTATTTTACCACTGCAATATTCTGACTTACACAATTACACTATACCTTTGATTAGAAGTTATTTTAACTTCCCAAAGAAAACATGGCAGTTAGAAATTGACACTTTGTGAAAATAGTCTCTGCTAGTAGGAATGTGAAAAAGCAGTTTTAATTTCCATTTCAAAGTTATGATTTTAGCTTTAAAAACAAATGTTTAAAAATACATAGCTAAAAAATGATAATAATTATCAAACTACACTTTGCTCCCGAAAAGATGATGCTAAGAGATGGTACATGCATCTAAAAAGTAGATAAACTATTTAACTAAAAAAACAAATCCGAAATACACAGGAATATAAATAATACCTACTATCTAAACTCTACCCAATTTGGTCCCTAACACAACTCTATGAAATAGGCACTGTCTCCCTATATTTCAGGTATGAAATAGGTATGAAAGGTATTTCAGGTATGAAAACAGAAGCTTAGAGAGTCTAAATAATTAGACCAACATGACATAGATAGAAAGTACTTTAGCAAGAACTGAGCCCAGATGTGTGTCTAATTCTAACATCTAGTCCTAAGTGTACTAAGCAAGATTCTCACACACCTGGTAGCCTAGACCAATGATTTGGAAGTGCATATTCCTTTTTTTAGCAATCAACTCAGTCCTATATTTATAGCTGTAGGATTTAGATGTGCTTCTTATAACAAACAAATTGGACAAATGACATTTTAAAGCAAACTTTGTTGAGTGTCAGGCTTGGTTTCATTTGCCTTGCTATTAAGAATGAGACAGAAATATTTACCATAAGCTACTGATTACCTTTGGCAAGGGCCTACAATTATCACTCATAATGAAATAAAATATGTTAAATTTCTGTGCAGACCGATTAGCCCTGGATGACTCAATACTGTCTTGAATAACATCTAAGATGGGCATCTCTGCATTCCATAGTTAACTGTGACAAATTTCGTCTAGGAGACATTTAGGGATGCTTAAAATGACAGAAAGAAGACAGTAGCAGTAGTGAAGTCCTCTTACATTTTGAAATGACACAGTCAGAAGGAAACATCTACTGTGTTGCTGACTTTGCCTTCCCTCTCCCGTTTCAGTTAACCCTAAAAGTGCAAATATAAACAAATTCAATCCCCAAGGGTACATCTGAACCAGGAGAAATCTGGAATTAATTGCCAAGTATTTTGGTTCCTGTTGCAGCTGTTACAAGTGTTTGATTTGGCGAGGGAAGAGAAAAGGCACCGCATACCAATTTCGTGAGCCACGGTGAAAGCTGCATGGAGGCCATCGTCCTCAATCACAGCACAGCTGCGCTCTGGAGAACATATGGTCCCAACGTCTGCCATTCCCAGGGTGTCACATGAATGATGCCCACATAAATCCTGCCCGGGAGAAAGAAAGAAATCATTAAAATCAATTTACATCCAGAAGGAGCCACCACATAGAGCCACTTGCTTACCACAAATGGCAAGACTGGGATATGTTTATGGTATCACCTGTTCTGCTTTGGAAATGCTCCAAAGGCAAACACAAGGCAGCAACCCTTCTGAGCTACTCAAGGGCCCAGAAGCACAGAAGGATAACGGAACTCAATCACTTTTAAAAAGATATCTTAGGATTGTAGTGTGTCCATTACAATAGCTGCCTCAGCCTTAACAAAGCTGTAATGTATATATGTCATGGATCACTTTCACATATGGTCATGCTCAGAAAAGCCCTAATATTCTGACCTAAATTCATGCTAAATTTATCATGCGTCTGGCCTAATAAGTTCTTTTCCATCACAGGGGCAAACTGCAACCACACGTCTGCAACAGAATATAAATGTACCAGTAATTCGGATGAAAAACTAAATCCATAAGTGTAATTCTTAGAAAGATCATCTCTTAATTTCCAAGATGAGTTTTAATTTTATAGGTTGCATTTTCTGAAATTTGTGCATTCTTATGCATAATATTTAGTGTACTGCTTCTACATTATCAATCCCCAGGAAATATATGTCATATATTGTGTGTATGTGTGTGAGCATATGCATTTTTCTGGAAAGAAGTTCCATAGCTTTTAGGAGATTCTCAAAAGGGACCAGAGTCACACCCCCATGAATGGTTAAAAGTGATTGATTTGGATGAAAAGGACAGCAATGAGACTCTTATGATAGGGGATAAAGAGAAAATACAAGCCACAATTTTTGACATGACTGATTTGTAATGTTAAGCTTTGCCTTTAAATGCTATTTGAGTATTAATGGACATGAGTTTCTTGTGCTTGGCTACTATTTTGAATGAGAATTTATTAAGTATGCCCATATATATCCCAAAAAAGCAAAATGGTATTTCTAGTAAGCCATAAGTTAATAACTTCAAAAGAAAAGAATTAAAAATATATTAATTACTAAAAAGATGACTTTATTGGTTGAAATACTGGGTTGTTTCTATTATAGCAATCATCTTTCTAAGACCAATGACCACACTGTTTTGTAGTAGGAACTCAATAAATGTTTGCTTAATTGAATGGAATTGTGACTTACAGTCAGATGCATGTAATCCTCACACACATTTAATATATTGTATGTTAGCAGGACTTCAACAGCCTTCAGGCAAGCAGTGAAAGACAGTATGACTACAAACCAATTCCACACACTGCAATTCCACACACTGCATGGCAACATACTCCTCACCCTTCCCTAATCCACTGCCTATTTTCCTCACCCAACTGAGGTGAAGAACATTCAAAACTTTCACCCTAATTCTCTTATTACATCTTCAGGTCCTCATTGTGTTCTGTGTATTATGAGTTCCCAGCTGTGAGGAATTAAAGTGTGGCACCATGTTATTGTAGCTTCAGACAGTGGAAATCTTGGCCAAGCAGGCTTGGTGAATCAAGTCACCAAACCAACAACAGCCTTCCAAGGTTTCCTGTGTGTCCTCAGATGTTATCCCATGGGACCCCAAATTACAGCTGTCGACAACAAATTAGTAGTTTTTAAATTGAAATTGGAACACACTTTTGCATAATAATCAGTCTCTGAGATAATAATATAGTACAATACATTTTTTTAACTCTCTCCCCAATAATTTCAGTAGCTCTAGAACCAAAGACCCAGGTCATGGCTGAAGTGAGTTGCTAGACACCATAGGTTATTTCTACACACATATACTTTTTTAAACCAAGATTTATGTTTATGTCACAATTTGGGGTTCATTATCTTCAAATAATAAAATTCAAGAATTAAGTTTCCTCTTCTTATTTCTTACTTCATTTATAAGCTTGAAGAGCCACAACAAAGGGAAACAGCATTCCCTGTTCTAGATGGAATTTAAATTGGATTCTTAATACCTTTCTGTTTACTGTTAATCAATTGCTTGTTAGAAACCATTAATCCTCCTTGTCATCCTTGAATTGGATGAAATATATTTGGCCTTTTGCAATGGAATTGTGTGCATGTGACAAAATTAAGAACAGAAGCACTTGTTATTATTTTTTTAACCACATTGTTTAAAATCCTGAGACTGTATCTTTAGCTACAAATAAACTGGCACCCTTCCCACTTCACTCATACCATTGCAAACATTGGCAGTATAATTATGGTTTCACTCTCAAGATTTCCATTGAACACCTGAATTTCTTTGTGATCCAATGTTCATCTCAATGAATTAAAACTAACTTGTGTATCAAATTATTAAGAATGCAACATATCACATTAATGTCTATTTTCTGGTTGTGATTTATAATGTGTACAGGTGCAAACTTATTTGAAGTTTGTAGAATTAAATAAAAATTTATAGCAGGTGTAAAGATACTATGGAGACAATAGCATATATAAATGAACTAATCTAGATCTGGAGGCAGAAACAATGAAAAACTGTGAATCACATACAGGGATACTATATGTGATTGAATTCAAATTGCTGAAAAGAGCTTTTCTACTTACTCAGAGAGGATCTGAGATAAATTATAATCTTTGTCATATCAAAGATGGCTTTTTTAATGCAAGATCAATATGTGTGATGACTAATGCAATGGGAGATTTAGTAAAATGTTAGGGTTGCAAGAGTATGCAGAGATTTACCTGGTATTTTTCTGGTGTGGTGTTCGCCAGCATACAAGACTGAGACATTGTATCTAATTCAAAAATATATCTGAGATGGTCTGCAAGATCAACAAGGATTTGACAGGAAGGTCATTACACTGTGACATTCACCAGGTATGCCCTTTCAGATGACTATAAATATGGCAGAGTTTGTGATTAATCATGGAATTTTGAAGCACTAATAGTACCTGAGACCGATTCTTGAGGACAGGGAGGAAAAAAGGGTGTCAGCAAAGTGCTGCATTGAGAAGCAGATGCCCAGAAGACAGTAAGACTTGGAAAATCCCAGTACTGAGAGGTGAAAATGAACAAAGCAGATACAAATGTACAAAATGAAAAAAAAAAAAAATCAGAGTTGTAGGATATCTTGCCTTGACCAAGAGACTGGTCTCCTATGTGGCATAAACATGCTTAGGAAAGGAGATAGAGGAAACACAAATGCTGAGAAAGATAGATATCATAACTGCAGCAGTAGAAGCCAAAGTTAAGAAAGAACACCTTATATAGGAGTTAAATAACAGCATTTCTGCTTCTACAGATATTACCTTCTAGCAAGGGCAAGCATGGAGCTCAAAGGAAGGGTATAATAGAGGGTTTAACATGGCTTGAGATATGTACCTATCTGTCTACACTATTCTTAGTGAAGAGAGATTAGTGACAGAATAATGAAGGTGGTGTGGTACATATTTTAATCCTAAGTATTACACACACACATACTTATACACACCCATGCATATTTGTTCTATGAATCTGATTCTTAAGCTGGCATTTGCCTTTCTGGCTACCCATATAGCAATCCCCCAAATCAAGGGGATTTTGGTTTTAGACTTCAGCAGATACTGCATTAATTGGAACTATTAGGCCAACCATTACAAAGACCTATGCTATACAATATCTATCCTTGCCTCTGGAGACAACTAAGTAATAACGAAGCATACAGAGCCCGGCTGTTAGGAGCCAAGGGATCCAGGTGCATTTATTCCTAAAACAATTATTGTGCTCTGTCTACAATCATTCGGACACTGTGCTCAGTGCTGACGTGGTAAATAGATAAAATAAGATCTGATCCTGAGCCTTAAAAATCATGATCTAGTGGGCAAAATATCTATGTCAAGAGAGAAGCAAATGTGACATGCAACAATGAATGGCTTGCTGAGGGAGAACAGAAGAGGAATTGATAAATTATCTCTGAAGGAATCAGTAAAGGTGTCTCAGCAGAGGTGACTGGATGTGATAGTCTGGGAGGAAAGATATGATAACAAGGAAAGATTAGTGGAAACATCTTGGGATGGTAAAAGGCAGAGTCTGTTTTGGAGAACAACAAGAAGTTTGCTGTAGGGGACTAGTAGAGGAAGCTGGAAAGATAGTCTGGGCTCAGGGTTTCAAGATAGGAAATTTTCTCTGACAAATGTAAGAAGGTACATTTCTCTGACAAAGGCAAGAAGAAGGAGAAGAAGAGACAGAGAAAGTAACTTCAAGGGAGTAGATGTCTGGAAGAGTCATTTTGGAAAACAGGAATGGAAGCTGGTTAGAAATAGTGACTGGAAGATAGATTGCTTCTTAACTCTAACTCTATGAGTAAGAAGCATCATTTAAATCATTTACATGCTTTGCCACCAACATAAGGAGTCTGGACCAGATGATCTCCATGGCTTGTCCCAGCTATACATGTGTGGGTATGAACTAAAAAAGTTCTAATTTATATATGAAGAAATTAGAGTTCAGGGGCATTAAGTGCCCAAACTCAAGCTTGAGCATACTGAACCTGAAATTCAAACCTACATCTAAATACTCCCAATTTCTGATCTTACTTCTCTATGGTGTGAAATCATCACGTATGTTATTCTAGACATTAATCTTATCCTTTACATTCACAATCTGCACTTGGTCAAGCGAATTTCTTTCTTTCTTTCTTTCTTTCTTTCTTTCTTTCTTTCTTTCTTTCTTTCTTTCTTTCTTTTTTTTGCATAAAATGAAGAACAGCATGATTTTCATCTCTATGGAATGTTTGGTAAAACTCAATAATTTAGAAGCATACTAAATACACAAAGTACACTGTGAAAGATATTCCAAAAAATAGGAAAATGGAAGTGCTGGATAGGAAACCTGGTGATACCATTCACTTGCCTCTTTCCCAATCTCTCACCTGCCATGTCCAATCAATCACTGTTAAGTCACTGGAGTTGTCCTCTGTATCTCATTCTTTCCTATTTCTTCCTGCCTGGATTGTCACCTGAGACGTCTAACTGCTCCCTTTGTCTACTGTAACTTCCTTATCCATAGGCCACTGTC